CCTGCTAATTTCTTAATATCATGGCCCCATCTCAGCTTTGGTCTTCTTCTAGGTCTCTTAATTCGGCGTGGAATAATAATGTATTTTTTGTAGTCCATCTGTTGTCTGTTCTTCTTGTCAGGTGTCCTATCCATTGCCACTTGAAGGATTTGATTCTGTGGATGCATGGTATCTATTACCTTTTTCGGTTTTTTGTCGTATCCACTCTATTCTTTTACGGTCTTTTTTCGTTATTCCTAGCGTATTTCGTTCTATTGAGCGTTGTGCGACCTGCAGTTTCCTTATAATATCCGTTTTAAGTGTTCACGTTCCAAGTTTCGCATGTATAGGCAAGTATAGGTCATGACTGGTAGTACACATTGGTCGAATGTTTTCTTCTTTAGATAAACTGACATTCTAGACTTGAATAGGATTGAGTTTCTTCCATAAGTACTCCATGCTAATTTACTTCTTCTTTGATTTCCAGTAGTAGAGATCCCGAGCTGTATTTTAGTTGTCCCAAATATATATGTAACTGTAAATGTCTGAAATGCGGTAAAACCTAGGATAAGCGCGCTAAACCTAGGATTTACCAAAAGCATATGGTAAAAGCCCGAAAACTATTTATTTTGCTTCCATTTCGAATTTTTACCGGACCCAAATAGTAAATCTTAGGATTTACCACACCGCATTGGTAAAAGTACGAATAAGCAAGTGGTAGTAAAAGCCAACCAACCCCACCAAATAACCACCTAACCAATGCATTAACACCCTCCAAATAACCAGGCTAACCAATGCATTAACACCCTAATAACCAGGCTAACCCCATTAACATCCCAATAACCAGGCTAACCTATATAATTACTTAATGTTTTTAGTAAATCCTAGGTTTAGCGCGCTTATTTAGCCTAGGTTAGAAGCCTAGATTTTACCGCATTTCGGACATTTACAGTAATAAATATAAGACTGATACGTTACAAAAATCGACATCTATTTTTATTCCTTTCTTGGTTCAGTAGAGTTGGCGGAAGATTTCTTCTAGTGTTCCTGTACAGAACTTTGGGGGTATCACGTCTCCTTATCGTACTCCTTTGTCAGTTAGAAATTCTGGGGTTGTTTTATATATCATTACTCTCGCTTTGGCTTCTTTGTATATATTAGCGAAAGTTTATAAGGCCTATCAATACCTTGTTTCGCTAGGGCTTCTATTATTGCCTCAGGATATATTTAGTCGAAAGCCTTCTCAAAGTCTATAAAGGCTATGGCTAGTTCATATTATTTTGTTCAGCTGATAGTTTCTCTTAGTGTATGTATACGATCAATCGTGCCGAAGCCGCTTTTAAAGCTTGCTTGTTCTCGTGGTTGTGCAGCGTCTAGCGTGTTTTGTATTCTGTTGTTTATTATTTTTGTGAATATCTGGTATGTTACTAGTCATTGGCCTATCGTTTCTGATGTTTCTTTGCTGTCTTTCTTATGAATCAGAATTATGTTGGCGCTATTCCAGTTTTGTGGTACTATGTGGTACTATTTGCTAGGATTTTCCAAATTCTCCTACCAGCCTACTTAACGTATTTCAACTGTTATTCCGTCGTTCCCTGCTGCTTTTTCATATATTTATTTTATTTTTTTATTACGAATAAGTACACTATAACTAGTTTTTATATCGCATTTGGTCTAAAGATATTCACCACGGTATATATTCAAATGTGCAATGTCGTCTACTGAGCGATTTAAGTGTTTATTTTAAGAAAAGAATGTTGGTGTCTTTAGTTAGCCCCATCTCTTCGGCGACGCAGTTTATAAATAAAAACGGATCGCAGACAATGTCGCGTGCTTAGGATGCTGATTTATATCAAATCTCTTCTGGAAAGATTTATTTTCGAAAGCATTTACCCTCGCGACAGTCAAGCTTATATTATCATTCTTATAAAATAAAGCTGTGCTAAAGTATAGATAATTAATCATTATACATTCTTCCAGGCAGATATATCTTTTAAACGGGTTATTAAAAAGTTTGACTTTCATTTTCAAATATTGTCTGTCTGTCTTATTCTATTTAACTTGTGAACAGCTGAACCTAATCTGACAGGACCTTCATTAGCACTTTATCCTCTGTGTGTTTTTTTAAATTTTGAATTCTTTGGCCTGTTCTCCAGGAGATATACAGGGCGATCTAGTATCCGAAAAGCTTCATCTCAGATTCACTTCCATTCATTTATAACTTTTTTATTTTTTCAGATAAAAAAAACGAGATTTTGTATGTTAATATATGATATAAATTAGGATTGATTGACGTATTCAATAGTTTTTGGTCACTTCCTGTTTCACCAGAAATGACTACAACTTTTGATTTTTAAATGGCACCCTAGGTATATTTCTTTGTTCGATAGAAAATGACACTCTGAATAGAATGACATCATATGTCAACTTTTGACATTTTCTCTTAAAAACAAATCGTATTTTAAATTTCAATCATGCTCGAATACCATGACTGTGTTCAAAACACAATAATATAATAATTTTTAATCAAGGAGCCTTGGAAAAAAATGATCCTCTAATGTTTTTCCTGTCTTGTCCTTATTATTATTAATCATATCTCAATTTTCTTAAATAATACACGGGTGGTTCATTAGCATATTTGGAAAAAGCATTTTTTTACGAATAATTTGGTACCACACAATTGGTATTTTGAGTCAAATTGTCATTATGAACCGCATGTTACAATTTCAAATAAAGCATATGCGAAAATGTCAAAAGTTGACATATGATATGTCATTCTATTCAGCATTTTCTATCGAACAAAGTAGAAACATACCGATGAGTGTGCCATTAAAAAATCAAAAGTTGTAGTCATTTACGGTGAAACAGGAAACGACTAAAAACAATTTAATACGTCAATGAATCCTAATTTACATATGGTAACTTAAAGGCTTTTGGAAATTCCGGACAAGTGAACTCAGAAATCCGGACAAAATCCGGACTAATGAACTCTGAAATCCAGACAAAATCCGGACGTCGCAACCGGAATCAACAAAATATTATATAAACTAAAAAAACATTCACTTTCCAGGAGTGCACCGAAAGCGAAAAATTTGAGCGCCAAAGTATAGAAATGGGCACTTTCGAACATGCGTTGGTTAAATGGAGCTGTAAAATATTCAACAAAGTAACTGAAAAATTAATTCAACTGTAACTGGTAAAATATTTAAGTTAAATTGTTTTTGTCCTCAAGTTTCCCGGACGCTTTTCCAAACTGGACCAAACTGGACAAACATCCGGGCGGGACCGCACCAGACACTTTAAAGATCCGGGCATGTGTGGGTAAATCCGGAGGTATGGAAGCCCTAGTTGATATCATATCTGGATCAGAAACATATGGTTTTGATATCCCAGGAACTGATGTGTCTACTACTAAAAATTCCTAGTCCTCTCATTCCTAGTCCTAGTATGTATGGGTATAGGCTTAGGGTATAGGTATACAATAGTCAAAGACATACCACATAGGCGTAGCTAAGTTTTGATTTAGAGTGGGGCAAAAAATGTCAAAGTAGGTACCGAAATCTCATACGTTAATGTTACCCAACAAAGCAGCAACTTCATTTTAAAAGTAGTCTGAGTGGGGTTTGCCCAAATTTTGACAAAATTTCGATTTCAAACTTATTTTTCTCTTCTTGAAGAGACTTTGGTCAGAAAACATTTCTCTACATTTCTTTTGCTGCTTGAATAATGGGTGCCAATCTTTTCACAGCTTCTACATAAACAACTGCGTGCAAAAAGCATTTAATTTCGTTGCTTTGCTACCTTTCATGTCTATCATTCTTCAACATGTCAAGTATTCTTTTTAATATCAATAACAATGTGCTGAATTCCACTCAATCTCAATATTATCGTGTGGATATTGATAGATATAAAAATTATGTTATTTTTTCGTATTAAAATTTTTGGTTTATTTGGGTAGGTATAGAGCCCGTACAACGAGAGGATCCGTGACGGTGACAGTTGTGTCTGTCAAATTAACTCAGGTGAATATTTCCTGTCATTTTTTGTATGTCGTTTGTCAAATTCTTCCCTGATTGGGTGTGGATTGGGTTAGCAGACTCTAAACTTAAGCCAGCTTGTGTGGGGCAACTGCCCCAGTCTGCCTAACCTTTGTTACGCCTATGAGCAACCAGGAGATATACGAACACGAACCATACAGTAAACAGAAGACTGCTACGTTGCCATTGCCGTTCTCTATGCCGTTTTTCAAATAAGTCTGCAATATTCAAATAATTCAAATAAGTCCACAAAGTCCAACGTCAGAGTCGGCAATAAGAACTGTGTCACCGCCGGCAATGTTAAAGACTTCACGGTTGACTTTAATAACACAATCTGTTGAAAAGAGTTGAGTTTCGCGAAAAATGGCCTCTGTATAAATTATGAATAACGCAGGAGACAGTACACATTCCTGTCTTACTCCTCTCTGTTGAGTATTATCCTCAATCAAGGGTATTATTGACTCGATTGAAATTGTTATTTTCAACTTCAATGTGAGCTGATTGTTGCCAATATTTATTTTTCGGAAGTGCTAGATTTTTGCTCTCAACTCCCCACTCATTTTCAACGACTTTTTATACAGAACTATTTTTTTATTATAGTTTTAAAAAAATGTTATAGCTTAAATAATTTTATTTTTTTTTTCATTCAGCCTGAGTTATCACAAATTAAATTATATTTTTAAGAATTTTTAAAATGAGTTTACTGCAACTTTACATCAACAATTTAACAAATAAAATGACAGAAATCTTTGTTCCATTTCCAAGCCATATCTGATGCCGTATTTTTTGATCGTATGGTATAATGACAAAACGAAAAAATGTGCAGTTTAATCTGAGGTTTAAATCATAGATTTATCTTAAGATTAATTAGCTTGCATAAAACGGGCCTGAAAGAAGAGGAAAAGCTTTAGCGATATGACAACCACTAGAACATCCTGTATAAAGCTCTTGACTTGGGTTGATATCACCCATCACCCGCAGCGATAGCTTGAGGCGACGTAGCATTTTTAGTTGGCTTCTAGCAGGCGAGTCAGACACTCCAGTTGATCAACAGGACAGACTGTAGCAGGAATCATGAGGGAAATCGTACATTTGCAGGCCGGTCAATGCGGAAATCAAGTCGGTGCAAAGGTAAGTGACTTTCGTATACAGAATTATTTTTATTAGTGTTTTATAAAATATAAGAATTTTTTTCGCTTTTTTAATTAAATAATTTTAGTTAGTTTTTATTTCATTCTGTCTCAATTATCGTAAATTCAATTATTATATTTTTAACAATTTTTTAAAATTATTATTTTTTATTTTATTTTTTGCATTCTTACTTTTCAAATTTTAATTTACTTTATTGTAAATTATGTTTATTAATTTTAGTTGGATTTTGTTTCATTCAGCTTCAAACAATTATCACAAATTCAATTATATTTTTAAGATTTTTTTTAAACTTTTACTTTTTTTGTATTTTTGCGTTCTTTACTGTTCAAATTTTAATTTACTCTATTGTAAATTATGATTATTAATTTAGTTGATTTTTATTTCATTAATTCTGCCTCAAACAAGTAGATATCACAAATTCAATAATTATATTTTAAATCGTTTATTAAAAATATTACAAATTCATTATATTTTTTGCATTCTTTACTTTCAATTTAAAATTTTCTCAATAATTGTAATTTATGATTATTAATTTTAGTTGGTTTTTATTTATTTCTGTCTCAAACAATTATCACAGATTCAATTTATATTTTAATTTTTTTAAACCTATTACCTTTTTATATTTTTTTGCATTCTTTACTGTTCAGATTTTAATTTATTCTAATGTAAATTATGTTCAAAAATATTATTTTTTATTTTTAGAATTTAACTTTTTTTTAAAGAATTTAACTAATAATTTCCTTTGTGTTTTTTTCAAATTACAGAACAGTAAATGTCATGAAATCTGTGATATTTTGTGAAATAATCACCAAATTTTTTCTTTTGTGTTTTAAAATTACTGAAATTTTGTAATATTTTTATTTTCATTTTTGTTATTACATTTAATTTTTATGTTAATGCATATTTTTTGATTATTTTTGTTAATTACTGTTTCTAGTAAAACCGTTACGGATAAATAAATAATGAGAGATTTATACAGGGTGTTTCAAAAAACATGTGCCATCTCTCGTGGGGAGATTCCTCTCGTTAAAATAAGTTTTTTTTCACATCACCATAGGTCCGATTCTGATTTGTTTCGTAACTATAGGGAGTTAGTGTCTTTATTTTTTCGATTTATTATAAATTTTCTTTCAAGTACTCTTAGCGATTCGAATGAAATTTTGACCGTAAAAGTAATAATAATAAGTGAGACATATTTTAATACAAAAAAGTGTCGACATATTCACCAGGGACGCATCTGTTTAACCACTGGAATATATTTTTAAAAAAAGCTTTCGCCACTGACTTTTTTTCTGTTGTTAGCGAATTAGTGTAAGCCGTTTAATGTCGATTAAAAGTTATCTCTTGATATTTTGTCGATTTCGGCTTCCTTGATGAGATAAACGCAATTTTATTAATTTATCTTGATCCCAGTCTAATAACAACCTTTAAAAAAATTTAATATAGAATTTAAAAAACTTGCGAAAGAATTAAATTAGTACTCATTGATTCCTCATTAAAAAAATATGAAAAAAAGTTCCTATGAACATGGGTATGGAAATGCATAGTTTTAAAGTTACAGGATGTTCTTTTTTAAGTTCGGTTTTTGTTTGTAATTATCTTAAATACCATTATATTTTATTTGAATTTGTTGTAGGTGGGACTAATAATAGTAATAATAACTAGTAGTACTAATATTTAATAATAAATTAGATAAAATAAATAATTTATTAATTTTATTTTTATTTCAATTTTATTAATTGCGATTAATAAAATTGCGTTTATCACATCAAGGTGGTTGACATCGACAAAATATCAAGATACAACTTTTAATTGGCATTAAACGGCCTATACAGTTTTGCTACCAAAAGAAATAAGTCATTGGCGCACATGCTTTAACCCCTTGTAGCAGAATCGGACCTATGTTGATATGAAAAATAAATCTTATTTTTACGTGAGGAATGTCCCCACGATAGATAGCACATGCTTTTTGAAACACACTGTGAATATTTCTTTTTTTTTAGTTATTAGTTAATAATTGTGACTAAACGTATTAATATAAAACTTTTGTTTGGATAGTTCCTTTAAAATAAGTCACTTAATTTACATTGACATTAAGATAATAATTTTCTTGGTTTTGCATTACATTTACAGAATTTATTTATCATACTTATTTGTTGTATGACTGATAGTGTATTAATCACTCGTTCTCCATGCATATCTACTGTATGCACAGCAATAATTATTGCTTTCTTTTTATTTATAATTAAAACACTATTTTTTAAATAAATAATTACAAAATAATTAATTAATATGTAATTACAAAACCTCGAACTGTGTCACAAATATTTGACACTAACGACTTAGGGACAAAGTTTATAAACAGAGTCTTAAGTGCAAATATTTCGATAAACGAAAGATGTTTTATCTTTACTGATTTTCAAATAAATCCAAAATAACCAAGTTATTTTACTTTGAAAAAAAATAGATTTTTGCTTAAGTTTTGAGAACTACTGGATTTTTCTGTTTTCTTTCTTGTAAATTTAATCTACTACACCTAATGTGGCTATATTATCAAGAATATGTTTTTAACTAAAACAAAAAATAGGTACCAATTTTTTTTTCGAAAAATACCAAATTAAAAAAATATACCACCCCTAAAAATATTTGCACTTATTTAAGATTCACCCTGTATATAATTAATGTTTAGTTCTGTAAACTTTGCTAGAGACAAGTTGAATTTATTACAGAACAACTTTTTGCAAACTTTATATTTTTACCACTGAAAACGTTTGCAGAACATTAATTAAAAATGTATTATAAACAAATTAAAAAGCCAAACAACATGATTTCTTCCGGTCTACTTATATACCAGGTCTGAATGTTAAAATAAATGTCATTATTGTCTGCTGAATTGGAGCATATAAACTCGACTTTTTTATTAATTATTTTGACCAGCGCTATATCACATGAGATATACCAATAACGGTGATGCTATGAATTATTGCGATATTACGGTTGCAAGTAATAAAAAATCTGTTAATAAAAGTATTGATTGTGAATTAATATTTCAATTACAGCTAAAAATGTATGGAAATAAAAAATAATTGTTATTGAATTAACAATAATTATTGTTGATATTGAAGCTAAATTATCAAGAAAATTGATTATTAAAACAACTAGCTAGCTTTTTGAAATTTATAGTTTTAATTTCTTGGTAAATTTTTTATTATTTATTCATCTGTATAATATCATGTACAGAATGTTCAGAAAGTATATTACATTATGCTAATAATGGTGGAATATTTTAACTTGGCACTCTTATATAATTCTCACAAATATTTAAATCGTTTTCATTTTTAAACAAATTTGCTAATAATATTAGCAATTTAGCATCTTTATTTTTTATAAATTTGTTACTTGTTTGAGGTGTTTAAAAAAATCTAAAATGTCAATATTTAATAGGTATCTAATTATTGATAAAAATAAATTTTGCTAAATTTAGCTAAAACATGGTTTAGCAATTAAACAATTAACAATTTTATAAATAATTAAATTTTGCACCTAATGCCCGCAAAATATACAGTGCGTTCCATTTAAGTTAAAGAAGTTATTGCCATTTAAAGTTGGTAATTAAAAAAATTAGATACCCTGTATAAGGTAATATTATTTTTATGATTGCAACACAATATTGAGAAAAAAAACTACAGTGCCATTATTTTGATTGAAAAACTAAAATGCACCTAGAGAAATAAAGCATAAATAAAGCATGTAAATAATAGAAAATGCATTTTTTCAAGATTGATGAATATTTCAAAAACGGTAAGATTGTGTGAGGTAAACTTTTCATTAATTTGTATATTAAGTAAACAAAAAAAAACTAATTGTAGTGCATTATTTAGCTACAAGCTACAATACTCTGTAAATTAAGTGAACACCAATTTTAGCCACACTGTATGTCATTAAAGGTACGGAAATTTTAAAAAATGTTATGGGAAGTCTCAACATTCATACACTTATTTTCATTCAATAAAATTTAAAGAGATTGTTTACATTACCCATAATTCTCATGAAGCAAATGTATAACGGTAATTTGTGGTATAAGCTTGTATAATCTCAAATATCTATATGAACATTAACCACGTCTGTATTTCTAATATAGTGATTCAGACACCTTGAAAGGTTTAACGGATTATTTATTATGTATAATTAGAAGCTATTTACGGCTATTATTCTTAAAATATAAAACAAAATCGACAAAAAAATGCTGTTCTACTTTCCGTACACGATCTACTTCGTTGAGATATACCTATGTATACAGGGTGATTCTCTAAATAAAAGAACAGTAAAGCAAAGCTGTCTGTTTTTTTGAATTTATACTATGACACTTTGATTAGTACTTTCAATTACGCTCTTTTTGATGTAAGTAAATACGGTATGATCGAAAAAAAATGGCGTCAATGATAGCTTGGGAATGACAATCGATAATAATTTTGGCGAGGTTAATCTATAGACAATAGAGAATTGACATAAAACTTGTCAAAATTAACACTAATTATATATAGATTAAAAAAAGATAAACGTTTCCAAACACACAAATCTATTTTCAAAAAAGTATTTGTTAGTCAAATTTTAAACTAAATCATTTAAAAATAGTTTTTATTCAATATCTAGTATATGTAGAATGTAGAATGTTTAGGAGGGGAGTTAATCACCGCGACCTCACATATCTATTGTGTCTCCCTTTCTTGAGTTATAACGAGCTATGACTCATCATATAGTCCCAGGGCTTTTAAAAAAGCCAGTATCTGAGACGGCTCTACAGAGGCCAGCTCTCCATCCTCGACATCAGCCATACCAAAGTTTACGCAATGGTCGTCGTCTCGGCGCACTCAGTGATAAGGTGTTCTGGTGATTCTCCATTTTCCCTACTGAATCTGCATTACCGTTGTTTCTCAGCTTCAGCCTATTGAGGTGTTCGTTGAGGAGACAGTGTCCTA